ATTAAAAAGTATCTCGAGCTCTGTACCTAAATTGAGTAGATCTTTACACCTTGTACGAGATCAAGCATATGTGAATGGAAAATGGATAGGAGCCATGAAGAAAGAAAGATTTCCCATTTACAATCCAGTTGATAAATCTGTGATTACTTCTGTTCCTGATATGGATGTTGAAGATACTAAATTAGCAATTAATTCAGCATCCAAAACTTTTCTGTCGTTCAGAAAAACAACTGCAAAGGAAAGAAGCGATTTACTTAGAAGATGGTACGATCTAATGGTGAAACATTCCGATGAATTAGCAGCGATTTTAACAATGGAAAATGGGAAATCTATTGATGAATCAAAAGCTGAAATCAAATATGGAAATTCATTTGTTGAATGGTTTTCGGAAGAAGCTAGAAGAATCGAGGGAGAGATATTGCAACCACCAATACGTACTAGACAACTTTTTCTATTTAAGGAACCAATTGGAGTAGCTGCTTTAATCACACCATGGAATTTTCCGCATGCTATGATCACACGTAAAGCAGCTGCTGCTATTGCTACCGGATGTACCTGTGTAATTAAACCTTCAGAAGATACACCATTAACTGCTTTGGCACTGGCTGATCTTGCAGAGAAAGCAGGTTTTCCTCCTGGAACGTTGAACGTGATCACAACAAGCTTGAAAAATTCACCCGCTGTTGGCAAAGAATTATGCGAAAATTCTGATGTAAAAGTTTTATCATTTACTGGATCGACACCTGTAGGGAAAATTTTATACAACCAGTGTTCTTCAAATATAAAGCGACTCAGTCTCGAATTAGGAGGTAATGCGTCATTTATTGTATTTGATTCAGCAGACTTAGATTTAGCTGTGCAAGGTGCCATGGCAAGTAAGTTCCGAAACTGTGGTCAAACATGCGTTTCGGCAAATAGATTCTTTGTACACAGCAGTAAATTCGACAAATTTATAGAAATGTTTTGTTCGAAAATGAAAAGTGAGATTAAAATGGGTGATGGTAGTAAAAAAGGCATTACACATGGCCCTCTTATTAAAGAAAGTCAGTTGAAAATGATACATGGATTAGTTACTGATGCAGTAGAAAAAGGAGCAAAAGTGCATTGCGGTGGGACACCATTGCCAGACTTAGGGCCGTTGTTTTATGCGCCCACGCTCATGACAGATGTTACTAAAGAAATGAATATATATAATAAAGAAATATTTGGCCCGGTAGCCGTCATTCACAAGTTTGAAACGGAAGATGAAGTTATAGATAAATCCAATGATACACCTGTTGGTTTGTCCGGATATTTTTATTCTCAAGATCTATCACAAATATTTAGGGTAGCAAAGAGATTAGAAGTCGGTATGGTTGGCGTAAATGAAGGATTGATTTCTACTGCTGAAGCAGCTTTTGGCGGGGTGAAAGAGTCAGGTTTAGGAAGAGAAGGTTCTAAGCATGGTGTCGAGGATTTCCTTGAGATAAAATATGTATGCATTGGAAACATACATTACTGATGAGTATTTTGTTGAACAATTCACTCAACTAGCTGGCCTAGAGGTATTGACCTATTGTTTTTATTCAGCGAATCTTGCAAATGCTCAGAAATGATATATTTTGATAATCAATATAGCAAGACGAAGTTTATAATACTTTTTTTGTATATAATAAGAATAATTAAATAATGGTAATGCATTATTTTAGCGCAATGTATTATTATTTATAAATCTGAATGTCTTCCAATTCTGTCTTCCACTAACGTGTAA